CTAGACTGTTGTTCCTAGAGGTCCAGTAAAGATCATCTCTTATTGATCCAGTGTTACTGCAGGAGGAAACCTAAACTAAACTACCTTTAATTATACTGGATAGCTCTATCAGTTCTAAAGTGTTCTTCCTAGAGGTCCAGTAAGGATCATCTCTTATTGATCCAGTGTTACTGCAGGAGGAAACCTAAACTAAACTACCTTTATTTATATTGGATAGCTCTATCAGTTCTAAACTGTTCTTCCTAGAGGTCCAGTAAGGATCATCGCTTGTACATGCCTTCTCCAATGTAAATAAAGTTAGTTTAGTGTATTAGTCCCCATATTACAAGAATGAAATATACATTCTATACAAAATCAGTTCTCGCATCTACATGTGCTTTTCTTTATTTAGGTCATAAATACGAAGAGCCATCGAACTATGAGCCACTGAGGAGAAATCCTTTACAAGATCAGAGCGATGAACATAACTATCAAAGTCTGACAACGTCACAGAAAGGAAAATAGCCTCGTTAGTTTTTAGCTTAAATAGGCTTTTAACGAAGGTTTTTATAGACTTCTAGGAAGAATAGTTTAGAACTGAGATATTATTATTATTTATTATACTCTGTTCTCGTTTTCTTATTGGCTAAAAGCCTGCAGGCTAAGACTGGCTCCAGTTTGGCTTTAAATTTCCGGTTGGAAGTAGCGTTTACAAACACAGCGAAATTTTTTTATTTGAGCTAATTTTAATTTTGCTTTGAATTATTCACAATGAGCCGTCTGCCGCCCGTTTTAATTTCTGTTTGTTTTATTTGTTGGTGTATGAATAAAATGAATAATAATGAATAATAAAAAGTAATTCAGATATCTTTCCCCCACCGTGTTTGGTTGAGACAAAGCGTGAGACACTTCTATATACTTGGAGTAAAGCCTTATGTCAGAAAAACATTGAAGTGTTTGAATCGCTCGAAACGTTGAAGTGTTTAAATCGAAATCTCTTTGAAATGAGGCCAGGGTATGGTCTGCTGGTCACAAAATCTAATATCATGCTGTTTTACTGTGAAGAAACTGAGTGTTTATAAATGCAAATAAGATAAGAAATATTTTGTATCACACAAAATGTCTGCTTTGGACTGATACATCTTTGCAAAGTACTTGAAGAATTCGTGTGTATTCGCCAAATGTTTGATAAATATGTCTTTAAAATACACAGTCGTGTTAGTGTGGCTTATTTGTTTGTCTTTCAAAGTGGTTTTGACTGGTTGTGAAGTGTCTTTGGTGAATCGAAATGTTACAGACAGCTTCCGTGTTGGGGAAGATGGTTGTACGAATGATGGAACTGTTTGTACGGATTTCGGTGCAGTATGTCGTCAGTCAGATGGTTTGTGTTTGTGCACTGGTAATGAACCTAATTTTCGAAAACCTACTAGTAAAGTTTATGGCTGTTTAAGCAGTGAGAGTATCCACGCTGGATTTGGTGAGGGCTTATAGTTAATTTCAAATATACAGCCGAACATTTAAATTTGTTTCACAATCTTCGTCTACTATTAAGCGATCTATTAATGTTTTCGACATGATGCACAATATTATTTATACAACAGTCTATTCTGAAACACACAAATCTTGACGTAAGTACTAGGCTATTGTAGCTGTGGTAAGGCCGTCGATGTTAGGGTTCGGCAACCTAATTCTCCGTAGTAAAATCTGAGTTGAACGAGCGAAGGACGCATACGACTCATATCGATCTGGTATACTGCAGAATGGAAGGATTACCCACCCTGGCAAGAAGTTCTCTTTCGGTAGAGCGTCGACTAACTCTTTTCACATAAGTGTCATGAGTCCCTTGATCTTATGATCTCAAACTGAGAAGTGAAGTCGCTTTCACTGACGACTGTGTTAGTTATTTTTGGCCAAAAGTAATGTACCTGCGATAAGGGTTAATTCCTAGACATGAAAATTGAAATATCTCAATTTAGATAGACTAAATCTTTTATAACTTGTGGCATGATTTGGGGATAATAATTTGAAATCACTTCATCCTGGAAATCTTCTAGGTCCGCTAGGTAGAATGAAACCTAAGGCGCTTTCCATTGAATGGCCTGACCGGTCAGACCTGAATTTTTGTCTCGGTATCAATGGAAAGATCTGGTCTATGTTTCTCAAATATCTAGCAAAATTGGACATTCTAATTTTACCTAAATTTTCGGGTCAGATAGGTCCGAAGCCCAGACGTTTTGTGTTCCATTCAACAATTTAATCGGTCTGGCCGTGTTAATGGAAAGCGTCCCCAGAGAAGAAAATTTGTCAATATTTGTCAACTTTTAGTTCATCCTGCTCAAATAATCTTATTTCGTATCTCGTGTAAATATAAGAGGAAACTTGAACTGTGCATTCCGCCCTTTTCAACTTATACCATACAGCCACCAAGATCCAGCCACGCCATTCATTCATTCAAACGGAGCATCGACGAGTTGTACTTTAACGAAAGCCCTGGCAAAGTTTCCAAACAACGCCAACTATATTGATCAGCCATGGTTGAATGAAACTTACGTTGATTTAAGAGTCTCAAACGAAAAATTAGATTTTAAGGTATGGAAATCAGAGACAAAGATCATGTTTTTTCTTTAACTGTATTTAAAATTTGTTTGTTTTCCTCTTCTAGTGGAAAATATCAGTTCCATCCTTGCAAGGCACTATAATTACGCTAAGTCTCTTCTGTACCTTGGGCTCAAATAGTTCCACAACAAAATGCCTACGAGCGAAGGTTCTTGGCACATGGCCAGCAGGTAAACGGATGCGTTTTATAGGTCCAGCATTATTTGCATTCAAAATTTTAAATTCACTTTAGTACTCACGTACGTATTACCATGGATTTAATTCATGCGCCTACCATAAATATGAAAATATCAGATATAAAATAAAAGCGTTCTGATTAAATAGTGCATCACCCTTATACACAATTTTAAACCGTACATTTCCAATCTGATTCATCTTCAACTATATAAACAATTTACAATTAAACGAAAAATCTCACAACTTGTCAACAAGATGTGTTCGCAACAGGCTTGTAGCAAGCTTGTCAACAAGTTGTAACAATGCTGTTATTTATCAAGTTGCTACAAAGTTGTCATTCTCAACTTGTTGACAAATTGTTAAATTGCAGGACGATAGCAAGTTGTTGGAACAACTTGTAACAAGTCTGTCGAGTTCAACAACCTTGTAGCAAGTTGTCAACAAGCCGTTGGCAACTTGTTAACCAGCTGCGCTAAAACAATCAGTGCGAACACATGCATCCTGTTGACAAGTTCTTGTTAGCAAGTCGTCAATAAACTATTGACAATTTGTCAACAACTGACCTCTGTAGCTCAGTTGGTTAGCGCGATGAACTGGAATTGCAGGGTCGCAGGTTAGATTCCTGTCAGGGACATGTAGTTGGATTTTTAGCAGCTGTTCCTGGTTAGGTCTAATAAATGTATATAAATTTCCACTCAACTATATTATTCAAACGAGTGAGATGCCAACAAAATCTTAAGCGGTGAGAGCACATCCTGTTGACAAGTTGTTGGAATAACATTGCCACAAGTCTGCTGCAGAGGTTTGTTACAACTTGTGCGTTTTTATGTGTATAGATGAATCACATTTAGATTGATACTACAGACTACAGTCTAAAAGTTGTGTATTATGCATTCCTTTCTCGGCATAACTACAAGTGATTTATTAACTTCATGAATTCTAACATTATAAATTCTGACAAACGCTGCAGGTTTTCTCCAGGTACTATGTAGTTGCTTGTGTCAGAAAATTGTTGGAGGATTGAATTTATTCACTTAAAACCAGAGTAGCAAAACACGGGTGCCGACATTTTACATGGTTGCTGTGAACTCTGTATAAACTAAACTAATAAACTTTACATATAGCTGTAACTCCTGTAGCAACTACTGAACCAGCTACACCATCGAGTCAAACCACACCATCGAGTCAAACCACACCATCGAGCCTAACTACACCATCAAGTCTAACTACACAATCGACTAAACCAGCCACATCTGACGTCAGCTCAAATACTTCCATGGCAACATCACCAACATCATCAGCTAGAACCAGTCCACCGGGTGAGGCATCGGGCAATGATAATGATTCCAGTGGAACAATTATTATTATCGCTGTTGTGGTACCTGCAGTACTGCTGATAGTTTTGGTTGTCGTTATCTGGTGCTTGTGTAAACGCAAGAGGAGAAATAGGTAAGCTTTTTAAATTAAAGACATTAAAGATGATGTAAAGTCCTTAATGTATACAAACGCTTTGTTTACATTTTGAACTCATTGCTACAGGTGTAAAATATGATTAGATATATATTATACTGAATTTTTAAGACTCTTCTGGTTCGCTATGCTTGCATAAATGAATACAGGCTAGAGATTCAATTCAAGAAAGTTTGGAAGGTGCGAAGTAATATTTCAAATCCGAGTTAGTGTTTTAGACGTGGTTTCTAAATACAAGTGCCATGAACAATGGTGAGGCGCAGCCGAGCCATTGTTCATGGTACTGGGGATTTGGAAGCCAAGTTTAAAACACTAACGAGGATTTGAAATTGCTTCTCACACATCATTAGACTTTCATAGCAATGAGGCATGAAATTATTAGATATTCAAAAAAGTGAGCGTGGGCATTAACGATTACATTCGCTTGAAAGTTTGCATGACGTGCAACGAAGCATTCAGTTCGCTTTCGTCGTGAATAGATGAATTTTGTTGGCAAAAGAGCATGGTATCTTCTTATAATATAAGAAAAAGCGGTTTCGAGAACCAGAAAGTGTTGAGCACAGCATTGTGCACAGTATTGTCGCTCGGCTGACAAGGTTGGGGATCCGAAAAACGATATATCAGATTGTGTGCATGTGCGATATTGGCGCTATCTGGTGGAAAATGAAAGAGCCGAAGTGAATATATATTTTATAGACGGTAAACATTACTGGTAAGTTGCTGTATTATAGTGTTTAATTTAAAGCGCTGTTTATTATGATAGTTGGTGAAAAAGTTGGTTTTCCTATATTTATGTAGTTTTCAAACGTTTAGGAAAAGTGTTAGCTATAAAGTGTAGTTAGAATAAATTTCTAAATACAACTTACTGTATTTAGAAATAATTCTAAACATAGCAATTAAATATATTTGCATAATCTTTTGTTTACGCCTCAATTTCCCTATTGTTCAAAGCCCTTCCCACTTGAAGTAATTAAAGTCCTGGTCTAGACGGGGTATCCAGATAGATACACGTGATGTAAATTAAACCATGTCATTGGTCGAAATGCTATGAATATCTAATGATGTATGAGAAATATTAATAACATTCCGATGGTCTGGTCCCAACCATTGGAATGTTGGCGTGCGCAGAACGGACTTTACATCACCTTTAATGAATAACTTGGGTTAGCTTGGGTTTCGTATCATCCAATATGTGACATAATATCGACACAAGTTAATTATATCACGCGATAGTTTTGTTAAATATAAAGAAATTAAAGTTTCGCAATTGACATTTCTTTTAAATGGAACAACGAAATTAATAAAAGATTTATCAATGAGAATCGTACAATAGAAAATACGAAATTTCATGCAGTTGTTTTCTCTTTGTATTTTTCGAACTGCCAAAGAAATTCAAGTGATGGACGATCCAGCAAAAAGAACGGTATGCACAAACTACTTATGTACTGTAGTTGTTTCAATTAAGTCAGCAGTGAGTTATGTACAACATCGGATCACTTTAACGCAACCCACACTCAAGAACATGTACTACCTCTGCATGATCTAACCATGCTTAAAGGATTAGAGTCACACCAGGAATTCGCGAGCTCAAACTCCTGTTGGCGGCCATTTTTCGGGACGAATAGATTAGATGATCTAGAAAGTGTTTACAATCCGTCATATATTTAAACCATCCTTTTATAATCCTTGCTCTTTTTGTGTGATTTTTATCAGAAATGTACCAAACAAGGTATTTTTATTGCTATTTGTTGTATTTGAGTAAAATGTAAACAATAACAAAAGCCCGCAATGCATGACCCTGACACTAATTTTTTAACTCAGCAGTGAGTTCTGTACAACATCGGATCACTTTATGGTAGCTCACATTCAACTAGAACATGTACTACCTCTGCATGATCTAACCATGCTTAACCGCTCAGCAGTGAGTTCGTACAATATCAGATCACTTTAAGATGGCGGCTTACATTCAAGAACATGTACTACCTCTAACCTCTGCATGATCTAACCATGCTTAACTCAGCAGTGAGTTCTGTATAACATTAGATCACTTTAAGTTAGCCCACAGTCAAGAACTTTAATGGATGCCATACGTACGCAATACAAGTGCGTCAGTAACTGATGTTTTCTTAATTAACAACGCGTCTTATTTAGATACTGCGCACCTGAAGCAGTTCAGCCACATAGACAGTAATCTACGAGGGCCAGATGCTTATGGAGATGGACAAGTCAGCGACGCAAACCTTGGTTATTCAACACCAGATAGCCAGCGCGTGATAGTGGAAGCCAACCCAATGTATGCAACGCCAGATATTAAAAGAAAAGAAGACAAAAGCACCAATTACAACCCATCAGCACCTCGATACGAACCCGTCAATATGAAAAAGAGAGAATCCAAGGAAGATGATTCTCAAGCAGAACCTGGATATGCGACGCCTGATTTCAAAAAAAGAGAAATCAATCCCGTCAATTCTTATCCAGAGCCTGGATATGAAACTCCTGATGTCAAAAAGAAAGAGATCAGTATTGCTAGTGCAGATTCTGCTTATTCAACGCCAGATGAAAATACAAGAGAAAATAATGCTGATATCGAACGGATTGATGTTAACGGAGATCTTTATGCTCTGCCGGATAAAAATAAAAATAAAAATACTAAAAAGGTAAAAAAGGTTTATTAATTTGAAAGAGATGAATGGTCATTGATACAGCAGCATCTGAAATTGTCTAAACTAAACTTTTGTCTATTAAATTCACTTTAATTGGACTGCAAAGTTAGTACTCTCAAGAGTTAGGGAAATCGATGCAGACATAATAGACTTCATTATCAATATGTTTTTGTTTTGGTTTATGCAAGAAATGGTCGGTTGATCGTCACGTGTGTATTGTAATTTGGCTAGAGCAACCAATAGCTATGTCTTCATTTAACCATTGTGTAATTTCACGACTGGGTAATTAAACCAACGCACCGCTATTGGTTGGTTGGGCGAAAAAACAATACACATGCACGTGACGATGACAGACCATTTTTTGCATAAATCAAGACAAAACATAGATAATGAAGTCTATTAGGCCACAGTTAATATGTCTGCATCGAGTTCCCTAACCTTCTTATTCTATTGTCTTTACCTCCGCTTGTGTACGATAGAGAACAGAAAGATCTGATCTTTTATTATAAATGCAAGAACAATTTGATAGATCTTGACGTGGAACATTATGTTGAAACTACGACAAGCAGAACACGCGCGGGAACTTCTCAGCTTTTAAGATCACAAGCTTGTAAGACTAGCACATTCCAGGGTTTCTACTTTGTTAGGATTGTAAATCTGTGGAACTATGCATGTAAAACTGCTCCTTCGAACAGCTTCGACACTCTCTCCTCCTTCAAAACATACCTCTACAAGACTTGCCTCCAACTTACTGCCACTGCTTACACTCCTGACTTACCTAGCTCACACTCATTGATCACGACTGAATAATATCTTCTATATCAGTCGTTCTCTTCTTCTCTCTCTTAATTTCTTTACTTCTTCTCATGTACTTTTTCTATTCTATATTAATGTGTTGTTTTGTCTGTACTGTCCTGACTAATTAATGGTGAGCACCATGCATGGGACCTATAGTCTCGTTTGTGCTTCTCCATCTTTGGCACGTTTTTACATATTGTTATTCTTCAGGTTGTGTTAGTTTGTGCTAGTTATGTACAATAATGTGTACCTGTTTGCATGCGTGCCAAACAAAGCTGTTAAATTAAAAAAAAAATTAAAAAATTAGACACTAAGCAATGATCTGACCATCTTTTGACCATCTGATCAACTATACTTTTACATGACTGACGTATATTCAATCTACAGATTAATGGTTTAAACTACATGGATCCTTCACGGTTGGTTTCTGGCAGTCAGGACGGAAATGAAAACCAGGATCAATCTGGCCAACCTACTGAATATGCAGAAGTTGTGGGAGTCATGAAGACAGCGCCGAAAAAAAACAAAAAGAAAAAGTGAACGCAAGTATTAAATGAATAAATGAGAAAGAAATAATTGTACATAAACTTTTGGTTGTTATGTAGAGTGTTCTCGTTGTACTAGGACTGTACGTACCGTTAGGCTACTGTAGTCCCATTGTAGGGATAAGGTGAGGTAGATATAAATTTTTAATGTCATTATTTACACAAAAGGTTCACATTTACACTATTAAAATACATTTCTATGTAAAAATATGATAAAAATAAGAAATACAGTTAAAAAGGAAAAACTAATTAACTGTGTTAAAATTGTCCTATAAGGTATATTACATCAACAACCGGAGTAAAAACGTTTAGGAAGTGTTCAAGCTAAGGGTTAATGATTAAGTTACTTTCAGCAACCTCAGTTGCTATTCCATTCCCATGCCCATATGACGCACCGACGCACTCTTGATCCTCTTATACTGCAGGATATTTAACAATTATTCGCCGAAGGCGAGGTGATTATCGGGGAATATTCGCCGAGACGAAGTCGAGGTGAATATTCCCCGATAATCACCGAGCCTGAGGCGAATAATTGTTTTAGTATTTTTGCACAAGTTTTTTTGTGTTTTTCTGGTCTGAATTCATTTTAATTTCGCTTAATATTTCTTTATCACTAACTTCAACAAAACGGCTAGCCGCCATTTTGAAAATTTCGATTTTGTTATATTCACCTGTAGGTGAATATAACAGATTAATACGTCAAATTCGACCAATCACCTTGTAAGATTTGTTATGTTCACTTGTGCAAAAATACTAAAGTTGATTATTATTGCATCATAGTTGATTATCATGGCATATCATGGCCCCATGGTTTCTTTGAAGAACTACAGGTTGAAAAAGACGAATTATATTATGTGTAAGCCTTGTTAAATTAAAGTTCTTGATCAAAACACGTCAAGTGTACTTTAAAAATTTATGCAGTTATATTTTGACAAATTTCCCATATTCAGTAGGTCTCAATAGACACTTCCGGAGTTTGCATGAGTGCACACGGAAAATAGCTTGAAATTGAGGCGGACAATGTCATCCATTGTAAATAAGTATTTTTCATTGCCTGCCAACAAATTCGAAGGTCTATTCAATTCATTTTATCTTTTGATAAAAACACTTGGACTTTCCGAGCGGGAACGATTCATCGCTGAAAGCGTTGAGGTGTTTTAATCGAAAGGCACCACAGAATCTGATGTCATGCTGTGTTGAGGTGTTTTAATCAAAAGTTGCCACAGAATTTGTTGTCATGCTGCTTTGCTTTAAAAATAAAGTGTTTATAAATGCAAATAAGATAGAAATGTTTTGTAATACACAAAATGTCAGCTATGGACTGATCCGATCGTCTTTGTAAAGATCCCTTAAAATTCGTGTTTATTCGCCAAATGGTCATTGGTGTTTGATAAATATGTCCTTAAAATACACAGTGGTATCAGTGTGGGTTATTCTTTTGTCGTGCAAAATGGTTTTGACTAGTTGTGAAGTGGTTTTGGTGAATCGAAATGTTAAAGACAGCTTCCGTGTTGGGAAAGATGGTTGTACGAATGATGCAAGTGTTTGTACAAGTTCAGCAACATGTCAGTCTGATGGCTCGTGTTTGTGCAGTGGTAGTAAACCTAACTTCAGTAATCCTAATATAATAGTTGGTGGTGGTAGGTTAGAGTATGGTGACTCGTATGGCTGTGTAAGCAGTGAATATTTACGCTTTGGAGTCGGTAAGTACTATTTTGTTTTATGTACTAACAGCTTACGAATCGTACAAGTGTACGGATTAATGTGCAATATGTCAACCTGACAGCGGTCTGTGATATGTGAAGCGTTTATGAACCTAAAATCCTACTACAACATCTACAGATAAGAAAGCTTACAGCTGTTTAAGCAACCTCGTACCCAGGCTCTTTCCACTACGCTCCAACGAGGAGCGTAGTGGAAAGAGCCTGGGTACGAGGTTGCTGTTGAAGCGGAGATAGTATTATAATTTCAACTTTACAATAGATTATTTAAACTTATTTCATAATCATCTTGTACCATTACTCACCAGGCGCCGGTTGTATAAAAAGTGATTAAAGTTAACTATAATTAAGTGCAAAAGTCATCCAATAAGAAGCGCGTATTTGAGAGTTAATCACTATTTAACTACAAAATAGTGATTAAAAAAGTGATTAAGAGTTTTATACAACCGGCCCCAGGTTCAAATTTACACTGCAGAGAGCAACAAATAATTATTTATTTCGAGTGGGACTGAACTCGTATCTTCGGGTTTCTGGACCGTCGCTCTATACAGTAAGGTATCGAGGATTGGAGGAGGACCACAGCTTGTGTGCTAATTTCCATATATGAACCATATATAGTGCCCTTTAATTTTTAACAGAGAATAGATAGGGTAAAAATATTTAACTCTAAATTATGGTAACCTAAGATATTGGCTACTGCTTGCCGACCTCAACATAAAGCAGCCATTTTCTAAAGTTTTTTTAGTAGCATATTAAAATATTATTCAGATCGGATATTCACTACATCGGCGCCCAATTCGTGTTGAAGATAATCGGAACTTTCAAAGGATTAATTAGCCTTTCTCACGGCCGATTTTTCCGCCATTTTGGGGTACTGCCTTTCCAAGGTTTGAGAATCTCCGCAACACGAAATACAACATTTTAGTATTGTAGTTGTTTGTATAATGATAAATTTATAGTTACAACTTTTAAAAATCGCTTTTCATGTTGTTTTTGAATTATCTAGAATCTTTCACGAGAATAGACATGTACCCCCTAAATGGTGGGTTTTGGCCTTCGCGAGAAAGGCTAATTAACTTAAACTGCCGCACGATTTGCTTTGGGATTTTTGAAGCTGTTTGATGAAAGTCTCAAGAGTTGAAAAAGTATTCCCTACCATAAATAATTATGACGATCTTGGTGTTTTACATCCCAATTCAATAACTAATCAACTTAATCGACTTAATTAATTAATCGACTTTAAACTTTGTTGTAATAGAGGTCCAAACACGGCCACCCGTCATCTGCCGTAAATACTAGGGCTATATAAGACCGTCAATGTTAGGTTTTGCTAGCTTCTCCGGAATGCTTGAGAAAAATGAAGACGCGCAATTTTTTCAAATTTATTTTCATTGTTCATTCAGCTCAAATAGTCAATCTTATTTCTTATTTTATTTTTAAATATAGGATCACTTAATCATTGTGTATTCGCCCCTTTTCAACTCATACCACCCAGTCACCAAGATCCAGCCACGAAATTCAGTGACATCGACAATCCACGCGCATTGTTCAGGAATTGTTCGTTGAAGAAAGCCTTAGCAAAGTTTCTAAGCAACACTACAGAAACGAAGCTGCAATGGTTGAATAATTCTTACGTTGACTTGACAGTCTTTAACGCAACATTGGAATTTAAGGTATGGAAATTTACCTTCATGTTTCTTTTCCTTTAACTTTGTTTAAAATTAGTTTGTTCTTCTTTTTCCAGTGGAAAAGATCAGTACCAAGTCTGCGAGGCACGATCATTACGTTGCATCTCGTCTGTGACCTGAGACCATCAAATATATTCGTACCAAAATGCCTACGAGCAAAGGTTCTTGGGACATGGCAAGCAGGTACAGTGCTTATTAAATAGGTAATGTACACATGGAAGGGAAGTAGTGAACTCTCTCGAAAATTCGATTCTAACATATGTGTAAAGTCGTGTTTGCACTGCGAGATATGTTGCAGTAAATGAACTTTCGCTATAAGGCCGGCGTTCAAAGATACCTGCCAGTGCGCAAATTGAACGTATTCCCAAACTGATTATTTTTAAGATTGTAACTACTTGCCAATTGTAGATCTCAAGTCCGCCGTTATCTTCCTCTTTAGTTATACGTACATATATAACTACGCATGCAATATAAGTACAAAACTTCATTTGATTTAGACGCTGTCTCTGTACCAACTTCGCCAACAGTATTAACCTCTAGCCAACCTAAATCTTCACAGATAACAACAAAAGCAACTTCGTCTGTAACAGTAACAACGGCAGAATCAAGCATGTTTTATAAATAGTTTCTTTATTTTCATTTCAAGGTCATCGTCAAAAAAATATTATTGCAATATACCATCAATTTATCTTGTTATTTAAAAACATACATGATACTTGCTGAGAAAAATGAACATAAAATCTATGTAAGTCAGCAGGATTTTCTATCAGATGTACAAGCTCATAATTTCCTTTGTGTTTTCTTATCAACTAGTAATAAGAATTACAAGAAATTTTGGACTTTGTTTCTCCAAGTACAAGAGTACAAGTTCTAGATCAGAATTTAACACCAAGTTCATCATCAGACAATCTTGTATATCGCTAATGGAATTGGTAGGAAAAATTAAATGTATTATTCCATTTTTTTAGAATCAACCGCCAGCGCCAGTTCGGATGAAGAGAGTTCAGACATGAGCAAAGTGTTTTTTGCTTTATTTTCTGTTTCTCTTGTTGTCATTCTTGCTCTTGGAATTGTTGTTGTGTTTCTGTGGAAGAAAATGCAGAGGTCAGTGAAAGTCGCCTTCATCCCTTCCTATTTCTTGTCATGTCCATCGTCAGAGTTCTCTGATGTTTAAGTCTTCTCTTAAACAGTCTATTCGTTTTCACTCGTGCTCTGTTCCCTTTATCTTCAGCTCCATGACATGCCTGATCGGCTGTACTTTGTCATTTTATATCACATTTATACCATCTCAACCTTGCTTTCCTTACCTCCTCGGCAATGTTTACCACCTCACATCTTCTGATCTCTTCATTCCATAATGTCTTTGACCAGCTCTCCTTCATCTCTTCTTATTACATGTCCATACCATCTCAATATTACTTCCCTCACCTTTTCTGCAGTGTTTACCACACCACATCTTCTAATTTCTGCATTCCGTAATGAAGCTTAATGAAGGACACTATACCATCTCAATATTGCTTCCCTCCCTTCTCTGCAATGTCTAGCACCTCACATGTTTTTCTGATCTCTTCATTCCATAATGTCTCCGACCAGTTTTCCTTCATCTCTCCTTATTACTGCCCATACCATCTCAACCTTGCTTCCCTCACCTTCTCTGCAATGTCTACCACCCCACATCTTCTTCTAATCTCTTTATTCCATAATGTCTCTGACTTTTTTAAACCGGTCATGCGTTTTGAACAGCTTTCTCTTGGATAACTCCTGCTGAATTTTAAATCCACATAATATATACTACATTCAACTTTTTTTTATCTTTTCTTAGAATGAAAGACAATAATTTCAGAATGAAAGGTAATGTGATTTTAAACTTTAAAGAAAGCGAAACTTGAAAAATATTATAAATATGCAAATAGAAAAATGCAAGTTAAGAACTTTAAGCTAAATTTGTATGTCGCTCACAAGACAATGAATAATCCACAAAACTAATTTGTTAACGCCATTTATGTTACTTTTATCTAACAAGTTCTGAATAGGAATGTTGAAAACAGGAGAAAGAGTCCTGCCTATGATCCTATCTAAACACAAAAAACATCGGATAGCTTAATTTCCTGTACAAAGACGTCAAAGTATTCCAAGTGCTTGATTAATTATAGAAATGCAAAATATTGATGGACAGAGAAGAGCAACTACAGGAGATAATATCAGCGCATATGACGAAGTAGTGACAGAGAGTGGCATACACAATGACGTAATTTATGACGAGTCCTTCCCGTCAACGCACAACAACAACAATGGAGGTTTGTCTGGTAAATTTGGAAACAAATTCAATTTATGCGCCATTCACACTGGCATATTCATGCAATGTGTAGTTGACTGATTAAAATTATGACTCACATGTAAAATCGTATGTGAAAGAATGGTTGCAGTTTGACTCTGCGAAACACCACAGAATTTCTCCGGGTACTTTGGTTTCTTCCTGTACTAGAATATCGGGGGCATAGGAAACAATGTTTTATGTGGAGAAGAGCACTTAGAGGAAAACGTTTGAAATGACACTTAACCAGATATTGCATTACTGGACCTCTATGTGGTATAAATAAAGTTCGCGCGCTTAGTTTATAGGTTTTCTCCTGTAGTAACACTGGATCAATAAGAGGTGATCCTTACTGCACTTCTGGAAAGAACAGTTTAGAACTGATAGAGCTATTCAGTATAAATAAAGTTAGTTTAGGTTTCCTCCTGTAGTGACACTGGATCAATGAGAGATGATCCTTACTGAACTTCTATCGAGAACAGCTTAGAACTGATAGAGCTATCCAGTATAAATAAACTTAGTTTAGTCTAGGTTTCATCCTGTAGTAACACTGGATTAATAAGAGATAATCCTTACTGGACCTCTAGGAAGAATAATTTAGAACTGATAGAGCTATCCAGTATAAATAAAGTTAGTTTAGTTTTGGTTTCCTCCTGTAGCAACACTGGATCAATAAGAGATGATCCTTACTGGACCTCTAGGGGGAACAGTTTAGAACTGATAGAGCTATCCAGTATAAATAAAGTTAGTTTAGTTTAGGTTTCCTCCTGTAGTAACACTGGATCAATAAGAGATGATCCTTACTGGACCTATAGGGAGAACAGTTTATAACTGATAGAGCTATCCAGTATAAATAAAGTTAGTTTAGTTTAGGTTTCATCCTGTAGTAACACTGGATTAATAAGAGATAATCCTTACTGGACCTATAGGGGGAACAGTTTAGAACTGATAGAGCTATCCAGCATAAATAAAGTTAGTTTAGTTTAGGTTTCCTCTTGTAGTAACACTGGATCAATAAGAGATGATCCTTACTGGACCTATAGGGAGAACAGTTTATAACTGATAGAGCTATCCAGTATAAATAAAGTTAGTTTAGTTTAGGTTTCATCCTGTAGTAACACTGGATCAATAAGAGATGATCCTTACTGGAGCTCTAGGAAGAACAGGTAAGAACTGAAAGATGTATCCAGTATAAATAACGTTTGTTTAGTAGCTATGTATCTTTCTTTGTACAGATCATAAATACGAAGAGCCATCGAACTATGAGCCTCTGAGGAGAAATCCTTTACAAGATCAGAGCGATGAACATAACTATCAAAGTCTGACAACATCACAGAAAGGAAACTAGTCTCGTTGTTCCAATTTCATTTACTGTTCTCCTGCTGCAGTAACAGATGACGAATATCACTAGAAACCCCTTTCTGAACCCCTATAGGAAGAATATTTTAAAACTGATAAAGCTATCAATGTAGTCAGTATATATAAATTATAAAGTGAGTGTAGCTTAGTTATACCTAAAACTGAGTATAGGGATACACGAAAGAATAAGTGTCGTGGTTTGTGTCTGAAAGGATTAAAAACACTTCAACTTTTCAAACGGAAGCCTTTTGTCAGGATTCGAGAGAACATTAATCGCTCAAAATATTGAATTGCATGCTTAAATCGATATCTGCTTAATCATGAGGGTATGGTCTGGTGGTCTCAAAATCTGATATCATGCTGTTTAGCTTTAAGAATAAAGTGTTTATAAATGCAAATAAGATAGAAATATTTTATAATGTACAAAATGTCAGCTATGGACTGATTCGTCTTAGTAAAGATTTCTTTAAATTCGTGTTTATTCGCCAAATGATTTATTGGTATTTGACAAATATGTCTTTAAAATACAATATAGTTTTAGTGTGGGCTATTTGTTTGTCGTGCAAAGTGGTTTTGACTGGTTGTGAAGTGGTTTTGGTGAATCGAAATGTCACAGACAGCTTCCGTGTTGGGAATGATGGTTGTAAGAATAATGCCAGTGACAGTGTTTGTACAAGTTTAGCAACATGTCAGTCTGATGGCTCGTGTTTGTGCCGTGGCAGTAAACCCAACTTCAGAAATCCTAATATAACAGTTGATGGTGGGCTAAAGTATGATGATTCATATGGCTGTGTAAGCAGTGAACATTTACGCTTTGGAGTTGGTAAGTAGTGTTTTGTTTTATGTACTCACAGCTTACGAATCATATACAAGTGTACGAATTGTGCAACATGTCAATCTGACAGCGGTCTGTGATTTATGCATTGTTTATGAACCTGACTTTCGAAACTATATACAGTAGTGATGATAAAGCTTTTGCCTGTTTATGCAGTAATAGTATTATAATTTCAACTTTACAATGGATTATTTAAGATTGTTTCATAGTCATCCTGTACCAATAGTTTCATAATATTTATTCTGATGATGCCGAAACAACGAAAATTCCGTTGGCTCGAACGGGATTCGAACTCATATCTTCGGGCATCTGCAGCAGACCGTCGCTCTACCCATTGCACTGTCGAGTTAATGGGGATTGGTAGCGAGTCTTATCCAATTTAATTGCACGAAATATTTTCGCGACAGCTTAATTAACACTTGGGTAGAGCGGAGTTTAAAAAAGACGAATTATATTATGTGTAAGCCTTGTTAAAGTTCTTGATCAAAACACGTCAATTAGTGTACTTTAAAAACTTATGCAGTTATATTTTACAAATTTCCCATATTCAATAGACACTTCCGGAATTTACTTGAGTGCAAACGGAAAATAGCTTGAAATTGAGGCGGACAATGTCATCCAATGTAAATAAGTAGTTTTCATTGCCTACCAAAAAATTCGAAGGTCTATTCAATTCATTTTATCTTTTGATAAAAACACTTCGACATTCCGAGCGGAGATGGTTCATCTCCGAAAGCGTTGAGGTGTTTTAATCGAAAGTGCACCATAGAATCTGATGTCATGCTGTGTTGAGGAGTTTAATCAAAAGTTGCCACAGAATGTGTTGTCATGCTGTTTTGCTTTAAAAGTAAAGTGTTTATAAATGCAAATAAGATTGAAATGTTTTATAATACACAAAATGTCAGGTATGGACTGATCCGTCTTCGTATTGGATCTCTTAAAATTCGTGTTTATTCGCCTAATGGTTATTGGTATTCGATAAATATGTATTTAAAATACACAGAGGTGTTAGTGTGGGTTATTTGTTTGTGTTGCAAGTGGTTCTGTGATTTGTGCAGCGTTTATGAACCTAAATTTCGAAATCCTACTACAACATCTACGGAAAAAAGCTTATAGCTGTTTAAACAACCTCGTATCCAGGCTCTTTCCACTACGCTCTTCCAGCGAGGAGCGTAGTGGAAAGAGCCTGGGTACGAGGCTACTGTTTAAGCGGTGATAGTAAACTTGTTTCATAATCATCTTGTACCATTACTCACCAGGTTTTACACTGCAGAGAACAACAAAAAAATATTTGTCTCGAGTGGGACTGAACTCATATCTTCGAATTTCTGGACGTCGCTCTACTCCGTGAGGTATCGGGTCAACGGGGATTGGAAGAAGAACGGTGTAGAAAATGGAAGATGCTAGTTCGAATCACGCTCGAGACAAAATCATAGTTCTCTGCAGTATCAGATAAATATGAAACTAGTTTTTCATAAATATCTGTAAGGTTGGCTTTGAAAAAGAACTGTATCATTAGTTAGTTAAATTGGTTATCACATGTTATGCCATTACCGGAAATTAGCTAGCGACAAAATGGCCACAGCAAGTGTGCTAATTTGCATATATGAACCATATATAGTGCACTTTAATTTTTAACAGATAATAGATAGGGTAAAATATTTAACTCTAAATTATGAGCAACCTAAGATATTGGCTACTGCTTGCCGACCTCAATATAAAGCAGTCATTTTCTAAAGCTTTAGTAGCATATTTATTCAGATAGGATATTTACTGCAGCAGCGCCCAATTCGTATTGAAAATAATGATCTTTCAAACGACTACGATCGTTTGGTTAATTGGCATTTCTCACGGCCGATTTGTTCGCCATTTTTGCGATACTCCTTCTCCACGTTTGAGAGAGTCTGCCCCACGAAATACAACTTTTTAGTATTGTAGTTGTTTGTATAATGGTAAATTTACTGTACAGTTACAACTTTTAAAAAGTCTATTTTCACGTTGTTTGCATTGTCTAGAATCTTTCACGAGGGCAGACAGTACCCCCAAAATGGCGGATTTTGGCATTCGTGAGAAAAACTAATTAAATTAAACTGCGGTACGAGTTGCTTTGCATGGGATTTTTAAAGCTGTTTGATGAAAAAGTCAAGAGTTGAAAAGTATTCTTTACCATGAATAATTATGAAGGTCTTGGTGTTCAGTTTACAACCCAATTCCAATAACTACTCGACATTAAATTTTATTGTTAATAGAGCCCTAGAGGCTCAAACACGGACAAAAATTATGAGACGGTAGATAATTTTTATTTGGCCGCCCATCATCTGCCGTAATTACTAGGGCTATAAGATCGTCAACGTTAGGTTTTGCTAACTTCTCCCGGAATGCTTGAGCAAAAGCTTTTCTAGATCTATTAAGGCGGGGACGCGCCGTTTTTTCAAATTTATTTTGTCCATTCAGCTCAAATAGTCAATCTTATTTCGTATTTTATTTAAAAATAGGATTTGTCAATTATTGTGAATTCGGCCCTTTTCAACTTATACCATCCAGCCACCAAGATTCAACCACGACATTCACTGATATCAACAATCAAAACGTAGACTCCAAGAGATGTGCCTTACAGAAAGCCTGGGTAAAGTTCCCAGACAACGCTGCAGAAATGGAGCTGCAATGGTTGAATCATTCTTACGTTGACTTGACAGTCTTTAACGCAACGTTGGATTTTAGGGTATGGAGATTTACCTTCATGTTTCTTTTCCTTTAACTTTGTTCAAAATAAGTTCGTTTTTCTTGTTCCAGTGGAAAAGATCAGTTCCAGATCTACGAGGCACGATCATTACGTTGCATCTCGCCTGTATCCTGGAATATTCGGGCTCAGCCACATTTGTCTCAAAATGCCTACGAGCAAAGGTTCTTGGGACATGGTCAGCAGGTACAGTGCTTTTAAATACACAATGTATACATGGAAGGAAAATCTCCAAAATTCGTTTCTAACATGTGTGTAAAGTCGCGTTTACACTGCGAGATATGTAAATGAATTAACTTTCGCTACAAGGCGCCCAAAAGCACTTGCAAGAATGCGCAAATTGAACGCATTCCCAAACTGATTATTTTTAAGATTGTAACTACTTACCCACTGTAGATCTCAATCCGCCGTTATCTTCCTCTTTAGTTATACGTACATTTATAACTACGTATGCAATATAAGTACAAAACTTCATTTGATTTAGACGCTGTCTCTGTTCCGACTGAGCCAACAGTTACAGCAACCTCCAGCCAACCTAAATCTTCACAGATAACAACAGAAGCAACTTCGTCTGTAACAGTAACAACAGCAGAATCAAGTATGTTTTGTAAATAGTTTCTTTATTTTCATTCCAAGGTCATCGTCAGAAAAATATGATTGCAATATACCATATATTTATAGTATATCTGGCCGTGTTAAGTATAGCTTGTGATTCGTCTTTATTCAAACGTTCACATTTTTTAGTTATCTAATTATATAAAAACACGAATAATGTTTGTTGAGAAAAATGAACATTAAGTTTAAATAATAAGTTCTTTGAATGTTTGCTTGGCGATAAAATATAATTGTTTTTGTTTGTGGAAAACATCACGTAAATTTATTACTGCAAAGCTTTCGATCCGTAAGCCCGGATCTTCATCAGTGCTAATAATATTATATATATATATATATATATATATATATATATATATATATATATATATATATATATATATATATATATATATATATATATATATATATATATATATATATATATATATATATATATATATATATATATATATATATACATATTATTAGCACTGATGAAGACCGGGCTTACGGATCGAAAGCTTTGCAGTAATAAATTTACATGGTGTTTTCCACAAACAAAAACAATTAAGTTTAAATAAGTCAGCAGGATTTTTTATCAGATGTACAAGCTCATAATTTCCTTTGTGTTTTCTTATCAACTAGTAATGAGAATTACAAGACATTTTGGACTTTGTTTGTCCAAGTACAAGAGTTATTAAGTTCTAGGTCAGAATTTAACACAATCTTGTATCCAGGGGCGGCGCTAACCCTCTTTGAGTGGGAGGGGGGGTGAGTAATCTTTTGGCGACTGTTGTTTGGTAATTTTGCCGAGTCGTTAACCTATAGTATAAATGTGCATGTTTAAATGCGCTTTATTATCCTCTATTAAGCCAGTTTTCCACAGTTCCAAATGGTTCCAGTTGAGAGACCAAAGACAAATGAAAAATTCGCTTCGCGCGAAAAAATTCGCAAGTGGAAAACCGGCTTAAAGCTGGTTTTCCACTATCGAATTTCTCAGCGCGAAGCGACCATTTTCATTTGTCGGCATCCATTTTGCCGCCCTCAAAAACCGTCAAAATTGAGGTCGGCAAAAAAGGGCCGACCTAGATCTGACCTAGGTCGGCACGTCTCGGCATTTCTTAAAACGTCTCGGCATTTCTTTCACGTCTTGGAACATTATTAATCACGCATTTACGAATCATTGAAATCGGAATATAACTGGAACGTTACCTCCAGCCGGAAAATTCGAAAGTTGAAGCCATGGCAAATTTTAACTCCAGACGCGCAAAATTTGATCTTCAGACACCTAACGTATATACGCAATTTTAAACCTTACACCGTAGTGTGACGTGTTCAGTTAATCCAACTACGACGCTAACTTTTAACAGCTGTCAGCACCAAAAAAATTCTTACTTTGGTTGAATTAAGGTCGGCAAATTTTTGCCGACCTTGGAGGTTGATAGGTCGGCAATTTATAGGTTAGCATTGTCGAATGCCGACCTCGTTTTCGAGGACTGATTTCGCCACATCTTGCTGACGTAATAAGTGATACCGACAAAGGGAAAAAGTCGCTTCGTGCGAGAAAATTCGCTAGTGGAAAACCGACTTTATTGCCTCTTTTATAGAACAGAATAATAAGCAACAACAACAACCAAACAAATTTAATTACCTAATTATGATGTCAATAATATTATGTTTTTGGACTGAAAGAACTGAAGATACTGTATTCGAAAGAATTTGCATTACTGCATGTGTGGTTTCTTTGATGCATGCTATTCGTGCTATTCGGTTTGAATTCAATTATTCAGAAAGTCAATTTTGGTTTCTTCAGTGGTTATCTTTAGCCATGCAATCCAGTTTTGCCGACTGAGATAACAATTTGCCGATTTGCTGACGAGTGGGGGGTGTTCCACCCCCCACAATCCCCCTGTAGCGCCGCCCCTGCTTGAATCTCTAATAGAATTGGCAGGAAAAATTAAATATATTATTCCATGTTTTAGAATCAACCGCCAGCGCCAGTTTGGATGATGAGAGCCCAGACTTGAGCAAAGTGTTTATTGCCTTATTTTCTATTTCTCTTGTTGTTATTCTTGCTCTTGGAATTGTTGTTGTGTTTCTGTGGAAGAAAATGCAGAGGTCAGTGAAAGTTGCTTTTATCCCTTACTGTGTTTTGGCATGTCCATCGTCAGAGTTCTCTGATATTTAAGTCTTCTCTTAAACGGTCTATTCGTTTTCACCCTTGCTCTGTTCCCTTTATCTTCAGCTCCATAATATGTATGATCGGCTGTGCTTGGTCATTTTATACCACATTTATACAATCTTAACCTTGCTTTCCTCACTTTCTCTGCAATGTCTACCACACCACATCTTCCGATTTCTGCATTCCATAATGTCTATGATCGGCTCTCGTTCATCTCTTCTTATTACGTGTCCATCTCATCTCAACCTTGCTTCCTTGCTTCCCTCTCCTTCTCTGCAATGTCTACCACACCAGATCTTCTGATTTCTGCATTCCATAATATCTCTGACCAGCTCTCCTTCATCTCTTCTTATTACATGTCCATACCATCTCAACCTTGCTTTCCTCACCTTCTCTGTAATGCCTACCACCCCACATCGTATTCTATAATCTCTCTATTCCATAATGCCTCTGACTTTTTTAAACTGGTCATCGGTCTTTAGAACAGCTTTCTTTTGGATAACTCCTGTTGTTTTTTAAATCCATCTGATATATATTCAAATTTTTTCATCCTTTCTTAGAATGAAAGACAATAATTTGAGAATGACAGGTAATGTGATTTTAACTTAGAAAAAAGCGAAACTTGCAAAACATTATAAGTACCTGTACGCAAGTAGAAAAATGCAAGTTAAGAACTTTAAGATAAATTTGTATATCGCTCATAAGACGATTAATAATCCACAAAACTTTGTTAACGCCATTTATAATTCCCTTTATCCAACAACTCAACAAGTTCTGAATAGGAATGTTGAAAACACGAAAAAGAGTCCTGCCTATCAGCCTATCTAAACACAAATCGGATAGTCCAATTTCGTGTACAAAGTATTCCAAATACTTGATAAATATAAAAATGCAAAATATTGATGGACAGAGAAGAGCAACTACAGGAGATGATATCGGCGCATAGGACGAAGTAGTGACAAAGACTGGCATACACAATGACGTCGTAATTTATGACGAGTCCTTCCCGTCATCGACACACAACAACAATAATGGAGGTTTGTCTGGTAAATTTGGAAACAAATTCAATTTATGTGCCTTTCACACTGGCATCCTATTCCTGCAAGTAGACTGATAATAATTATGACTCACGTGTGAAATCATGGATGAAAAAATGGTTGCAGTTTGACTCTACCAAACACCACATAATTTCTCCGGGTACTCTAATTTCTTCCTGTACTAGAATACCGGGGGCATAGGAAACGATGTTTTTATGTGGAGAAATAAACTTAGACGAAAACGTTGGTAAGACACTTAACAAGATATTGTATTACTGGACCTCTATGTGGTATTAATAAAGTTAGTTTAGTTTAGGTTTTCTCCTGTAGTAACACTGGATCAATAAGAGATTGCTCTTGCTGGAGTTTTAGGGAAACGAGTTTAGAGCACCTGTTAAGTTGAATAGATATGTCTATGACTACCAGAAAGGCGATTTCGAAAGTCTACGCTCGAATTTGCAGAATATTGAATTTTCCAACATCGTGGAAAGTAATACTGATGTAAACAGAGCCTGGTTGGAATGGAAAGAAAGGTATATAGCCGTAGTACGTAACTTTATTCCTTTGAGAAAGATAAAAGGCAAGCGCTCACCACCATGGATAAGCGGACATATATTTTATATGATTCGAAAGAAGGAAACGTTACGTAAAAAGCTGAGAAGTTCGTCTTCAAGTTTCTTGATTGCCAAATTCAAGCAACTACGGTTGGCAGTTAAACGTTTGATAAGCGAAAGCCGAGCCAGATACTTTGAGTCGCTGGAACAAGATATTCAGTCAAATCCGAAAAGATTCTGGTCTGCCTTCAAACTCTCCAATAAAGCGAGCAGTGTTCCTCAACAAGTGTCAATACCATCAACTATCCACGACACGGACACTGGTAAACCTGTTCGGAAATTAGTTTCCAGCCCGGTTGAGATTGCTGAAGCCTTCAACAATCACTTTACATCCATATTCTCCAGTGATACAGTCGAACCTCGCCTACAATTAACACCTACCAGTGGGCCGGAATTTTCCGAAATTTCTCTCTCTCCTTGCGAAGTAGTCTCCGCCCTTCGTTCACTTGATGTTACTAAAGCAACTGGACCTGACGAGATCTCTGCAAGACTTTTGAAAGAAACGGCTGACCAAATTGCACCATCACTAACTTTACTATACAATCAGTCGCTTCACTCAGGCGTGTTTCCAGATGAGTGGAAGCTGGCAAACATTGTTCCGGTGTTCAAGAAAGAAATCAAGGAATATGTAGAGAACTATCGTCCAATATCCCTGCTAACCATCATATCAAAAGTACTTGAACGGTGTGTTCTGGTCAGTCTACGGGATCACCTCTTGCAAATGTTACACCGAGCGCAACATGGTTTTATTCCCGGCAGATCCTGTGTCACCCAATTGGTCGAAGTTCTCAACTACATTGGCTCGTTGCTGGATTCTGGTCTGCAAACTGATGTGATATACCTAGATATGTCTAAAGCCTTTGATAAGGTTCAACATTCTCTCATCATTTCCAGATTGCGGCAATTTAATATCTCCGGTAGTTTGCTGAGCTGGTTCACCTCTTATCTGAATGGCCGAAGACAACGAGTGACAGTACTTGGTGCAACATCTCAAGAACGAGAGGTAACGTCGGGAGTTCCCCAGGGCTCTATCCTAGGGCCAGTACTTTTCCTACTATACGTGAACGACCTACCCAAGGCTGTGTTGTCATCAAAAGTGGCTTGTTTTGCTGATGACACGAAAGTCCTGAAGAGAGTTGAAAGTCAACAAGATAACGTTGATCTTCAAAGTGACATCAACAACCTCAATTCTTGGGCCGCACTCAATGGGTTGACGTTCAATGATACGAAATGTAAGTGTCAGCGCATCACGAGGAGAAAAACACCTTCAAGTTATCCATACGCCATGAATGGCTCAATACTTGGTGCCGTGAAGCAGGAGAAAGACCTTGGTGTGTGGATTGATAGTGACTTGACCTGGAACAAGCAAGTTGTTGAACAGAGCTCAAAAGCAAACAAACTTTTGGGTTTTATCAAGAGAGCATGTAAGGAGATAAGAAACCCCAGAACAAGAAGATGCCTGTTCCTAGCGATTGCACGACCTCATCTCGGCTACGCCACGCAGATTTGGGCTCCTCAGACGATCGATCTGATTAAACGGGTAGAACGAGTTCAGCGCCGTGCATCCAAATTTATTCTAAATCTTCCATACGATTGTCAGACCAACTACAAGAATCGACTTAAAGCAAGCAAGTTATTACCGCTTAGTTTCTGGCACGAATATTTAGACCTCGTGTTCTTATTCAAGATGATGAATGGTTTGGTGCATGTTAGCGATGACATTATTCCAGAAAGGAATGTTGGGAAAACGAGAAGAACAAGAGCCACGAGCAACCCAGAAAGCATCTTGCTCCGTGAGACGAAATGCAGAACGGTGACATTTCAACGCTCGTTCATCAACAGATCGACCAGGATATGGAACATTCTGCCTGATGAACTGAGACATCAATCTTTAAGCTTAGTCAAATTTAAATCTTTATTACTCGATTATTACCGTACTGCTTTAAATCTAGTCTATGATCACGATAATCCACGGACATGGAAATCTATCTGCCTAAAGTGCAACAAGGCTCGAAGTCTGGATAGTCCAATCTCTTGTTGTTTTTAGCGAGTTTGAGATTTGGCTTTCGCCGCCACTACCTCTCGCTGACCTGATGTGCATGTAATTGGTTAGCTCGATAAACTATAATATTGTTGGTAGCGGTAGTGGCGGTGGAAGTCGAACCTTGTTCTTGCTATGTATTGCATTGCATTGCATTGCCATTGTATTGCATTGCACTGCATTGCATAATATTCAGTATTGTTCTGTGCGATGTAGTTTTGTTTTGCGATATGTTGTTTTGTGTCGTATTCCTAAAATTTAGCAATTTTTAAAGGGCCCACAGTAATTGGTGTATACTGTTGGGGTGTCCCTACCACTTGTTTGTTGTAAGTGGCGAAGTTTAATAAATAAATAAATAAATAAATAGAACTGATAGAGCAATAGTATCCAGTATAAATAAAGTTAGTTTAGTTTAGCTTTCCTCGTGTGGTAACATTGGATCAATAAGAGATGACTCTCACTGGGCCTCTAGGGAGAACAGTTAAGAACTGATAGATGTATCCAGTATTAATAAAGTTTGTTTAGTAGCTATGTGCTTTTCTTTATTTATAGGTCATATATACGAAGAGCCATCGAACTATGAGCCTCTGAGGAGAAATCCGTTACAAGATCAGAACGATGAACATGACTATCAAAGTCTGACGACATCACAGAAAGGAAAATAGCCTCGTTGTTTTCGTTTTAAAATGTTCTCCTGCTGTGGTAATACATGACAAATGTGACTAGCAACCCCTACCTAAACCCCCAGGGGGAATATTTTAGAACTGATAAAGCTATATCAATGTAGTCAGTATAAATAAAGTGAGTTTAGCTTAGTTATACCTAAAACTGAGTATAGGGACACACGAACAACACTAAGTTAAAAAGTATCTGATTTTTCAAACATTGGAATCTACTGTAGGTAGAATAAGTGTCGTGGTTTGTGTTTGAAAAGATTAAAAACACTTCAACTTTTCCAACGGAAGCCTTTTGTCAGGATTCGAGAGAATATTCGTCGCTCAAAATATTGAATTGCTTAAATCGATATCTGCTTAATCATGAGGGTATGGTCTGGTGATCACAAAATCTGATATCATGCTGTTTAACTTTAAGAATAAAGTGTTTATAAATGCAAATAAGATAGAAATCTTTTATAATGTACAAAATGTCTGCTATGGACTGATCCGTCTTAGTAAAGATTTCTTTAAATTCGTGTTTATTCGCCAAATTGTTATTGGTGTTTGATAAATATGTCTTTAAAATACAATATAGTTTTAGTGTGGGCTATTTCTTTGTCGTGCAAAGTGGTTATGACTGGTTGTGAAGTGGTTTTGGTCAATCGAGATGATGTAGACAGCTTCCGTGTTGGGGAAGATGGTTGTACGAATAACGCAAGTGTTTGTACAAGTTCAGCAACATGTCAATCTGATGGCTTATGTTTGTGTAGCGACAGTGAACCTAACTTCAGAAATCCTAAAATAATAGTTGGTGGTGGTGGTGGGTTAAAGTATGGTGACTCGTATGGCTGTGTAAGCAGTAATGATCTGCGCTTTGAAGTCGGTAAGTATAGTGTTTTGTTTTATGTACTGACAGCTTAGGAATCATACAAGTGTACGAATTGTGCAACATGTCTGTCTGACAGCGATCTGTGATTTATGCAGCGTTCATGAACCTAATTTTCGAAACTAGTGATGATAAAGCTTATGCCTGTTTAAGCTGTAATATAGTATTATAATTTCAACTTTACAATGAATTTTTTTAAAAATTTTCATAGTCATCTTGTACCAATAGTTTCATGATTTTTATTCTGAAGATGGCGAAACAACGAAAATTTCTTTGTCTGGAGCGGGATTCGAACTCATATCTTCGAATAACTAGACTGTCGCTCTACCCATTTCGCTACGAGTCAACGGGGATTGGTAGCGAGTCTTATCCAATTTAATTGCACGAAATATTTTCGCGACAGCTTAATTAACACTTGGGTAAAGCGGAGTTCTAGAAACCCAAAGATGCGAATCCCGGCTCAAAACAAATATTTTGTTGTACAGTGTCAAAATACTCAAAATAATTAGTACCAATAATAAGAAAGCTTCGCATTGTTAGGGATACAACTACCTGAAAAATTCTCCTTGTATTTTTAATTAAGGTATATAGTTGCATCCCTATCAATCCGAAGCTTTTTAAAATATGGTACCTTAAGATATGGTACTTATTTTTCGATGAGCTAATGATAGCATGCTAAACAAACAGATTTTGTAAATTGGTGGTTCTTTCAGGAGTCTGGCTCAAAAACTCGTCTGTGTCATTCGGTCCTGAAGTCCTGAACATTATGAAGCAGTTTTATTTAATTCCAAGTGATGTATATGCAAATTATATTAATTAATCAACCTGGATTTGAATAAAATTCCAATCACAATGCAAACTTTAATCCAAGCCCTACTCCTTGTGCCGACATTCCAAATTACTATCTCGAAATGGTGACTGAATATCCTCTAGTTAATTTTAAATTTTTCAACTAAGCAAATTTCATTTAGTTCTTTCAGTTCAAATAGTCAATTTATATCATATTTTAAATAAATGTAGGATCACGCAATCATTGTGTATTTGGCCCTTTTCAACTCATACCAAACAGCCACCAAGATTCAACCACGAAATTCAGAGATATCGACAATCCAAAAGTAGTGTTCAAGAGTTGTGCCTTACCGAAAGCCTGGGTAAAGTTTCCAGACATGTACAACGCTACAGACATGGAGCTGCAATGGTTCAATGAATCTTACGTTGACTTGACAGTCTTTAACGCAACATTGGATTTTAAGGTATGGAAATTTACCTCCATGTTTCTTTTTCTTTAGCTTTGTTTAAAATTAGTTTGTTTTTCTTGTTCCAGTGGAAAAGATCAGTTCCAAGTCTGCGAGGCACGATCATTACGTTGCATTTCAAATGTGCCCTGAGCCCATCGAATTCAATGGTAACAAAATGTCTACGAGCAAAGGTTCTTGGGACATGGCCAGCAGGTAAAAGAGTCCGTTTAGTTGAAGAATTAGATAAAGGGTCTTGTAGATGGAAATTATCGAACAGCTGCTAAAAATGCAACTATAGGTCCCTGGTTGGGATCGGACCTGCGGCCCTGCGATTCCAGTGCGGCGCTCTAACCAACTGAGCTACAGAGACCAGTTGTGGAGCAATGTTAGAGCACTGCACTGGAATCACAGGGCCGCAGGTTCGATTCCCGCCAGGGACCTAAAGTTGCATTTTTATCAGCTGTTTCTGGTTAGGTTTAATAAATGTATATAAATTTCTACTCGATAATTTCCATCTACAACACCCTTCAAATATTATATTCAATGTGAGATGCCAACAAAATCTTGATATTTAGTTCAACAAGTATACTTTAATAGTACTCCTCATTATGCGGCCAATTTTGAATATGCACGAATAACTATACATGTACTGTATGTATCACAAAGACCATACCATACATAAACAGTGCATAACTCTAATACACTATATATTTTCAATCTAAATTCGACTCATCTTTAGCAGTACACACTTAACCCAGAAAGGCGAAACTGATGCGTGCGGACATTATAAATGCATGATAGCTGTGAACTCCGCATAAACATTGACAACTTTCACATGCATATATAGGTAACACCAGCTCAACTCCTGCAGCAACTAGTGAACCAACGACCCCGTCATTCAACCAAATTGGTACCACCACAATGTCACCTACCACATCAGCTAAATCCAATAGTCAAGGATCGAGCAGTAATGGTGATTCCAGTGGAACAATTATTATCATAGCTGTTGTGGTACCTGTAGTACTGTTGATCGTGTTGGTTGTCGTTGTTTGGTTGTTGTGTAAACGCAAGAAGGGAAATAAGTAAGCTTTTTAAGGAATTAATAAATAACTTTAATTGGTGATATTTGGATTTAGCATCATGCATTGTGTGATATAATATTGCTAAAATTGAATAATCTTATACAGAAATTCTATTAAACTTAAAGAAAGTTTTGATGCTTCTTTCAAACAGGACAATTCGTTTCTCTTCTGATTATCAACTATATCAATGTAGAAAATGTTAAGCCTAATGGACCAATCCCCAATTAACCAAAATTTTGAACTCAACAAGTCTAGACAAAAATTTCATCACAGCTTGAAAGACCATCACAAAATTAGTAATATTCCAAAGTTTCGTTGCAAAATGTTGTAAAATGCGGATAATATAGCCTTGCGAAATTTGTTTAGGCTAGTTAAGATCAAAATTTTGAAAAGTGGTAACCATTTCCCGTTTGTAATCTAAAATAATTGAAAATTGCAAATTTTGCAAGGCTATATTATCCGCATTTTACAACATTTTGCAACGAAACTTTGGAATATTACTAATTTTGTCAATGCTCTTTCATGCTATGATGGAATTTTGTCTAGATTTGTTGAGATCAAAATTTTGGTTAATTGGGGAATGGTCCATTGCAATTGAATTTTTCTTGATATTTTTACAACAGCAAAAGAAATTCAAATCGTGGAAGTTCCGGAAAAGAGAAGGGTATGCACAAGTTATGTAATTGTTTTAATTAACTCAGCAATGAGTTCTGTACAACATTACATCACTTTAAGGTAGCCCACATTTGAGAGCATGTACTATCTTTGCATGATCTAACCATGCTTATCTTCAATAGTGAGTTCTGTACAAGCAGCATCACAGACATTTTAAGGTAGCTCACATTCAAGAACATGTACTACCTCTGCATAATCTAACAATGCTTAATTTAACTCAGCAGTGAGTTTTGCACAACATCAGATCACTTTAATTAAAGTAGTTCACATTGAAGAGCATCCAATACCTCTTCATGATCTAACCATGCTTAACTCAGCAGTGAGTTGTGTACAACATCAGATCACTTTAAGGTAGCTTACTGTGAAGAATATTAATGAATCCATACGCGATACATGCGCGTCAACAACTGATCAGGCCCGTAGCTGAGGGGGGGGGGCTGGGGGGGGGGC